GGAAACAGCAGAAACTGGGGTTGGGACATATGGAGGGGTGCTTGAAGAAAGGGATGGGGAGAGGAATGCTCAAATATTTTAATGGTTTTTGCTCATATTACATATATTTGGTGAAATTTGATATTTTTTTCCAAAAACAGAGGGTCGGAGAAAGTCGGCCCGGCGCCTAAGACTAGGTTCCCGACTCTAAGATTCTACTCGGGCAATGCCTTAATATAATTTGTCAAATATTATGCAGGGTAGCTGGAAGCTGATTTCTCCGAATCAAATTTGCATCAAACAAATCAGGGAATTCAACACTAATACCATTATTATCTTTAAATTTGAATTAATTTTTTTCTACAAAATATTATTTTTATCTTTAAACTTTGGAAACTTATTTTTTGTTTTATTATTTGCCAAAGAGGTTTTTGATCAATCGAAGATTACGATTAAAGACTTTAAATTTGTTTTTAATTGTTAAAATAAGATGATTTTAATTTCCACAATTGATAAGATCACCCCTCCTGTAGCTCTCAAAACCACATGTTGCAACTAAAAAGAAAAATTTTAAAACTTCGAATTAAAAAAAAAAGTTTATTTTAAATAATAATAAAATCTGTATAATATAAATATTAAAAAATACTTATGCCGTTTTTTCCTTTTTTTTAAAACATATACATATACATATACAAGATAGGTGCACTCACTGTGTGATATAATGTAATATTTAAACATATCCTTAAATTCTTATCTAGACATATGTTTTTATCATGTATACAATTTACAATATATAGGAAATATAACTTCTAAGATATATAATATTCATCAAATATTGTAAAATAACCTAATCAAACGCTCTAGCTACTAAATGTAGATAACATTCTGTACTTCTTTAAAGGAACTGTAGAGGCGTAATTTCAAGTTATGTGTCGATGCGATTGCGAAACAATATCATTTAAACTTTAGACTGATCAAGGCTTATTTAATTTACGCTTGTTATTGTTGGACATTTTGTTTGCAAGCTGGGTTTATATTCAAGAAATATTAATATGTCACAGAAAAGAGATATTTACATATTGAAACCCACGATGGCCGTATAATATTCGGGATTTTAGAGGAATAAATGTATTTTTACTTGTGTTGAATGTACAAAGCTAGCGTAAACATCAGTTTTGCAACAATTTAAACACCATTTTAGAAACACACACGAAGTTCTCTAGCATCGCTGATCTGTTAAAGGTTTAAAGGGTACCGTTGTTAATCGGCATTTCCATTTTTGCAAGGAGGTTCATTTGAAATTACAATTACAGTGCATTTAAGAACTTATTGATAAAACATATTGCTTACAATGTCGAAATTAAGTTTGTATTCCTTTAAAACTGCAAAATAGAAGAAGGAAACAAAGAATAGCAAAAAGAAGTTAAACTAGGAACGAAAAATTGAAGTTTAACGATCTATCCTAGTTCAACAATTTCTCAGAATTTAGAAAATCTGACCTCTGTTGAAACCTTTATTGCATTTATTAAGACATGGAGTACTGTAGGCCTGTATAGACATTTTTAAAAGCATTTTTTGTGAAGAAACCCTTTTTTCCTATAATTCTAAATGTTACTGATTTTTATCTGTATTTTGGGTTTCTGAACGAAATTGGTACTAAATGAAACATTTTTTGTGACTTCAAAATCATATTTTCTTGTTAGCTAGGATAAAACCTTCCAAATGAAAAAGAAAAAAAAGAAAAAATTTAAAAGTTGAGTTTTCCCTCATTGCTTCCCTTAGTGTCCCAGTGTGCTCTGGTAAACCTTCATTGCATTTATTAAGGCCTAGAGTAGTTTAGGCCTGCCTAGACCTTTCTTTAGGCCTAGGTATATTAATTTGATGCTGGATAGACATATTTCAAGGTTAGGATGTAGATCTTTCTCATTACTCAAATGTACTTAAATTTGAACTATGAAGCACACGTGGAATTTTTGATATATCAAGTCCAAAGATAAAAAACTTGAAGAATTTTTTTTTCTTAAATATAATATTATGACATCATTTATATTTAAGTAATTTTAATCTGGGCACTACGTAGTTTATAAATGTGTTGTTGTTCTACAGTGGAGGATTATCAAACCTAGTGTTCTTTGTTGGTCTTCCAGATAGCGTTGATCCAGTTGGTAGAGAACCCAGTCAGGTTCTACTCAGGTAGTAATTATACCAGGTATACTGAAGATTCAGGTAGTAGATTACTAGGTTCTACTCAGGTAATAATTATACCATGTATATTATAGATCCAGGTAGTAGAAATCAAGGTTCTACTCAGCTAGGTAGTAATTGTACTATGTGAAATATAGATGCAGATAGTAGAGAACTAGGTTCTACTCAGGTAGTAATTGTACTATGTATACTGTAGATCCAGGTAGTAGATAACTAGGTTCTACTCAGAAGTAATTGTACAATGTATAATATAGATGCAGATAGTAGAGAACTAGGTTCTACTCAAGTAGTAATTGCAGTATCATGTATACTTTAGATCCAGGTAGTAGAGAACCCAGCTTTATTTTGCTGTTTTGTACTAATTTATAAAATATGATTACATTGTTTGGCTTTAAGTAGAATGTATTTAAAGTTGTTTGGTGAAATATTAAAAAATTGGGTTGTTTTTTGATAAAAACTGGTTGTTTTGTGAAAAATAAAAAAATTGGGTTGTTTTGTGTAAAATAAAAAGAGGTTGTTTGGTGTCAAATTAAATATAATCTAGGCTGTTTGGTGTCAAATTGAAGATAATCTAGGTTGTTTGGTGTCAAATTGAATATAATCTAGGTTGTTTGGTGTCAAATTGAATATAATCTAGGTTGTTTGGTGTCAAATTGAATATAATCTAGGTTGTTTGGTGATCTTGGATCAGGACCTGCCTATCAGTACAGACTTATCACAGAAACTGTAGTCTTCACAATGTTAGGTTAGTAATATTTTACAGAACAAAACATATAATTCATTTGTCCCTCATATGTCATATACTCTATACTTTAGTACAAAAAATCAGAAAATTGTGTTCGCAATGACAGCAGGAACCTGTTCTTTTCCACTTGTTACTGTTAGTAATCCCAGAAAATATTCTAAAATTCTAGGAGATTATCGCCCCAAAAATTTAAAAACTGCTTGACCAAGCTTTTAAAAAAGTTTCATGGAAACAACCAGACGCCATTTAATATTTTTTTGACTTTTAGCGGAGAGGAATCTTGGTCCTACATTACAGGGAGTTTTTCCTGGTGGTCGACTAGAGGAGTTTATTCCTGGACACCCCCTCACCACTACAGAGCTTAGATCCCCGGTATGTATTCCTGGACACCCCCTCACCACTACAGAGCTTAGATCCCCGGTATATATTCCTGGACACCCTCTCACCACTACAGAGCTTAGATCCCCGGTATGTATTCCTGGACACCCCCTCACCACTACAGAGCTTAGATCCCATGGTATGTATTCCTGGACACCCCCTCACCACTACAGAGCTTAGATCCCCTGTATGTATTCCTGGACACCCCCTCACCACTACAGAGCTTAGATCACCGGTATGTATTCTTGGACACCCCCTCACCACAACAGAGCTTAGATCACCGGTATGTATTCCTGGACACCCCCTCACCACTACAGAGCTTAGATCCCCGGTATGTATTCCTGGACACCCCCTCACCACTACAGAGCTTAGATCCCCGGTATGTATTCATGGACACTCCCTCACCACTACAGAGCTTAGATCCCTAATATTTATTCCTGGACACCCTCTCACCACTACAGAGCTTAGATCCCCGGTATGTATTCCTGGACACCCCCTCACCACTACAGAGCTTAGATCCCCGGTATGTATTCCTGGACACCCCCTCACCACTACAGAGCTTAGATCCCCGGTATGTATTATTGGAAAGTTGGCACCCCTCCTCTCAAAGGAGGGGCATATATCTCGTTGCCCCCCTCAGTTATATGACCAGGCCAGAGACTCTAATTCTGCAGTGCTTCTGTTATTTTTTAAATCTTGAGAACTTCAAATTTTGTCTGAGAAAAAATATTTTATGCTAATTTACTTTTGTATAGGAAAAAGTAACTCTAAACTCTAATTTACTCTTTTTAAGGAATAAACTCTTATTAACTCTCTAGTTAAGGAATTAGTAATTACTATTTACTCTTGTTTTAAAGGAATAAGTAATTCTAATTTACTCTTTCGTTTAGGAATAAGTAATTATAATTTACTCTCTTGTTCAGGAACAAGTAAATCTAATGTATTCTCTTGTTCTGGAATGTGTAATCCTAATTTACTAACTTGTCTATATTTAGGAGTACAGTGATCTGATAGCTAAGAATGTTGCTCTAGTTCACAGTTTAGAGGTTCCTGTTAGTAAAGAACCAACTTGGTTAGGAGATACAATGAGGTATAACTGAGGTGAATGTCGTCTTCTTTCTCTTTTTAACTTTGAAATTTCGCAGTTTTTGTTAAATTGCTTCTCTGTAAAATTTCTTGTACAGTCAGTTACAAAGGCATAATTTGAAATCAAAAGGAGAAAGAAGACGCCGATCATACAGGTTTCTTATCATCACTGTTTTTGAGATAAACGTAAATCAGAGAGATTTCTAGTCCAGTCTATATCTCTTGTCTCTAAACTGTAATCTATTCTAGATCTCTAGTCTCTAAACTGAAACCTATTCTAGATCTCTAGTCTCTAAACTGAAACCTATTCTATATCTCTAGTCTCTGAACTGTAACCTATTCTATATCTCTAGTCTCTAAACTGTAACCTATTCTATATCTCTAGTCTCTAAACTGTAACCTATTCTATATCTCTAGTCTCTAAACTGTAACCTATTCTATATCTCTAGCCTCTAAACTGTAACCTATTCTAGATCTCTTGTCTCTAAACTGTAACCTATTCTAGATCTTTAGTCTCTAAACTGAAGCCTATTCTATATCTCTAGTCTCTAAACTGTAACCTATTCTAGATCTCTAGTCTCTAAACTGAAACCTATTCTAGATTTCTAGTCTCTAAACTGAAACCTATTCTATATCTCTAGTCTCTAAACTGAAACCTATTCTAGATCTCTAGTCTCTAAACTGAAACCTATTCTAGATCTCTAGTCTCTAAACTGAAACCTATTCTAGATATCTAGTCTCTAAACTGAAACCTATTCTACTCTAAACTGAAACCTATTCTAGATCTCTAGTCTCTAAACTGAAACCTATTCAAGATCTCTAGTCTCTAAACTGAAACCTATTCTAGATTTCTAGTCTCTAAACTGAAACTTATTCTAGATTTCTAGTCTCTAAACTGAACCTATTCAAGATCTCTAGTCTCTAAACTGTAATCTATTCTAGATCTCTAGTCTCTAAACTGAAACCTATTCAAGATCTCTAGTCTCTAAACTGAAACCTATTCAAGATCTCTAGTCTCTAAACTAAAACCTATTCTAGATCTCTAGTCTCTAAACTGAAACCTATTTAAGATCTCTAGTCTCTAAACTGAAACCTATTCTAGATATCTAGTCTCTAAACTAAAACCTATTCTAGATCTCTAGTCTCTAAACTGAAACCTATTCAAGATCTCTAGTCTCTAAACTGAAACCTATTCTAGATCTCTAGTCTCTAAACTGAAACCCCTGTCTCCGGAATCTGTTTGTTCTGCTGAGAGAAATGCAGTTCTAGAGTTAATTAACTGGGATCTCAGGTATTATACATAATACATAATACAGTAGTTGGCGTTTATATCAATACAATTATAACGGCTTGACTTTTTATTAGCAAAGACAATTTTTATGTAAATTTGAACAAAGAGATATTGTCTTTGTTTTTGAAATATTATTTTCAAAAAACATTGACTTGGGTAATTATTTGAGGTAATTACTGGTTGATAATTATCTATATATATATATATATATATATCTAGAGCTGATGTAAACTATATATATATATATATATATATCTAGAGCCGATGTAAACTATATATATATATTTATAGATCGGAAGTAGACTGGTTGATAAGTTTTCTAAAACATGTTCCTTCTCCTGTAGTTTTTTCTCACAATGATGTAAACTGTGGAAATATTTTGGTAACTTTTTTTTTTTTGTGAAAAATTATTTCGGAGATTTTAGACAAAGAAGTTGAGAATTTTCTAAGCGTTAAATTTTTGCAACCTGATTGTGTAAACCTTTGATATTTCTAATTTAGATTATTAGATCTAACAGAATTAATGGTTTGAAATATCTAAGGTCTATGACATTGAGTTGGAAACCAATAAGGATTAGAAAATCAGAGTTTGTGGCAAAGATTCAATTCCTTTATTAACTTTTGTTCAAATTAATGTAAGAGTATTTGGGAAAAATGTGTATTAAAGAATCAAATGAATTTATGTAGAACTTAAAATTTGTAATTTTGGAATATCAATTTCATATTCTGATTAAAATAATTCATTTACATTTTTAAACTTTTATAAAGCATTATATATAAAGCAGTAAGTTTTGTTTGTTTGGATGTCTGTTCATAACTCATGAATCACACACGAATCTGTAATTTTTAATTCTTTGCAACCTGATGTTGTAAACATTTTTAATATTTTAAACTGTGAGTTCTGTTGGATCAAATTGTTTGAAATAGGTTTAGGCCATCATGTTGCTATAATGCTCTTGCTATATAGATATAAAGATTAGAAAATTAGAAACTAAGGCGATTATTTAAAACATTTAAATTATATTTTCTTGCAGACGATAAAATTTTTGTTTGTTAAGGTTCGTGAGGATAAAAGTGCAGGATGGGATCCTATTGTGTTTATTGATTATGAGTTTGCAGCATACAATTACAGAGGGTTTGATCTAGCAAACCATTTTATAGAATGGGTCTATGATTACGGAACAAAGGTAGGTATATTTGAGGGACTGTAGACGATATTTAAGTGATTATCCATTTATATAATTAGCATGTCTGATACACAAGGGTACCCAGTTTAAAGTTTTAAACCTTTATATGATTAGTGACTTTTACAAACTACAAGTGAAATAATCAATCTCGTTCCCCATGATCAGAAGAAGGGTTAAGGGTACCGTTGTAAATCTTACATGTTGCATCCTATAAATAAAGGACTACTTAAACATAGTCCTCAGTCAAACATACACCTCACTTTTTTAATTTCATGCTAAATTCAAATCTAAATAAAAAAATACTGTTATTTGGACCTTGTGTTGTTTTACATATGTATATATAAATTGAGCATTTTACCAAAATAGTAGGTGTGTTTTTATGTATTTAACTTTCAAAGAACCCTCATGAATATTTGGTAGATATTTATAGTTTATATTTATTGTTATTTTGAATATGGGGTGGGGCAGGGGGGGGGAACAAATTTTAAATATCACTACATACGCCACTTTTCTAAGTCGGAATTCTACACTTAACTAAAACACGAAAAAAATTAAACGTGATTTATCGGTTGGTTCGAACTTTGTATCGCACATTTTATTGTAGATTCGTATTCTTCACTTTTTATAGAAGTGGCCTCATTTTACAAGGAACTAAGCCTGACTGTACAGTTCAAAGTTTAATTCTGTTATAAACATTTCAAACATACTTTATAGATTAATAATATTTCATATATCGATAATACATGTGTAAATCAAGTTCTTTGTTAGATTTAAGTTTAAATATTACATTTTCAACAATAATAAAGGGACTATAAGCGTAATTTGAAAGGACCCTCCATACAAAGATGGCAATGACCCATTTAGAACGGATACCCTTGAAAGACTTATAACCTTAACCTGTGGAGGATACCGTCGTTTTCCAGCTACACCATAGTTTCAGTAGAAGTAAATATTTCCATTTACTGATAGCGCCGATTGAAGGATTCATAACTCTAATTGGATACTGAGATAGATAGAAAGATAGATGTTACCGCCATACCATTTCTATTGGTTTAGAATAGACAACAAACACATGACTGAACCCTGATTGGATGAGGCGCTAATGGACTCGGCATACAGGAGTGGCTAATTTCTCCATTGCTTCTTATAAGCAAGAAATGCTCAAGTCACTTCCGCAGAGAAACCGCAAATCAAAACAAACAATTTAAAGAAACAAAAACATGGATATCTAATAACACTTGATCATACAAAGCTTTAAAGGGTACCATTGTAAATCGGGAATTGCCATTTTTGCATTAAAATTACGATAACAGTCTCTTTAAGGTGGCAAAACTGGGGAATCTTCCTCGCCTAGCTGAAACAACAATCCTGACAAAAATTAATTTTTAAAAGTTTTAGGTTTATCCTTTTTATATAAGAGATATTAAACAGTACCCAACAAGATCTCAACGTGAAAGGTAGTATATTTTTATAATGTAAAAATATACTAGGAATGTAAAAATGTATCATGCACGTACACTGTACAGTGGGACTCGTAATGCTTTGGAAAACGAGGAATATTTTAAACTAAAAATATTAGCGTTATTGTTTATATACAGGGTTACTAACAAAGAATGTGACTTAAGTCTCAGACCCTTAAAATATGACGTTTTAAAGGTTAAATTAAGTCTTCTGCCTTAAATAAAGTTTTTAATGGCATATTAAATAATATAGCAAAAACAGTTGGTAACCCTGTTCTAACTTTACTATATTTATTTGTTTATTTAAATGAACGGAATAACCTCTGACGAGAATGCACGGAAACTGTTGTCTCCTAAGCATAGATTCATAAAAACCTCATATGACGTTACTCTCGCCTCAATAATCAGTGATGTCATATACGGATTTGATCTATGTATGCTTGGAGACGACATTTTCCGTACACTGGAGTAACCAACCTTGATATATAACCTTGGTTTAACTAGATGGATTCGGAAGTATCTTGAAACGTATGAAGAACAGGAATTCCTGCAGGAGGAGAATAATTTGAGAACTAGGAATGGTCGCCATCATAACCAGCCTAAAGGACAGGTAACAGGATACACAGCTGGGAGTTCAAGTGTCTCAAGGGAATACAAATACAGGGGGTCCTTACTAGGACTGGTCATGTTCAGCCATTTATCAATCCGTTCGTTAACGTTAATTAAATTATTCAAGAAAAAAATATTATTCTAATATCCGTTCATCTTTAGCAAAGAACTGAAAGTTCGTTTTTCCGTTCGTAATGTTTTCGTTCGTGAACTATCTACGGCGTTATATTAACGTAAGATATTTTAGAAATCATTGGCAGTGATGTCAGCTTTAACGAGCTCTTAACGATAATTTCATGTAATCATAGCTGGACAAATTTGAAGACAATATATTCAAAAACATCAAAACGCGTAAAAAAACATCAAAAAACATACATTTATATTTTGCAATTTTATGTTGGCAAATTAAAGAAAGTCACCGTTATTTTGAAACAAATCCGTTCGTTCATTTTTGTAAACAGTTATTTTTTTCAAGTACGGCTACTTCTAAAGATACCAAAATTAACGGTTTTGCTATCTGTTAATTTTCAAAAACTTACCGACTTTAGGGGAACGTTTCCTAGCCCTAGTCCTTATTCCTACTAGACGAACGAATTGTAATTTAAGATGAGCATTTGTTTGCTCCCATAATCTAATTAGTACTTCTTACGATCGGATTTGATAAAATTGTTCTCTTTCCCACAGCTCTAGATGAAGACACTTTTCCTGTACACATTAGATATTTATTTCTTGTACACATTAGATATTTATTTCATGTACACATTAGATATTTATTTCCTGTACACATTAGATATTTATTTCCTGTACACATTAGATATTTATTTCCTGTACACATTAGATATTTATTTCTTGTACACATTAGTGTTGACCTTTAAAAAAGGTCAAAAAAATATTCTAATAAAGAAATCAGGAAAAACCCAAATATTCTATAACATTTATTAAAGAAAAATAAAATTGTTTTGAAATATTTGCACATATAGCTAAGTTAAAATTGGTTGATTGAAATTAATAAAGGAAAAGACAAACATCAGCAGCAACTTCATGTTGGTAATGGTGTTGAAAGGATTGGAACAGTTGGAGCTTCATGATGGTCAGCTCACAGGTGTCAGCATCTTGGCATCAAAGGGTTCACATCTAAGCGACAGTTCTGGGGGATTAGCAGTCAGTAACATGTGTAGGGAGGAACTTGATTTGCCTCTCATCCCCTAGGACATGCAACTCTGGAGGGGGGTTTTGCAGTCTGTAACATGTGAAGGGAGGAACTTGATTTGCCTCTCAATCCCCTGGACATGCGACTCTGTGGAGGTCGGCTTAGACATTAGCAGCATTTGTTGCTAGAGTAGACATCGGCGGCGGGATGAAGGAGTTAGTAGTTCCATGTTAGAGGTGTTCGCATCTCGACATTCTAAAGCTAACTGACGCTGTATGGAGTCATGTGGGGCGTGTTTGCTTCACTTCGTGGTTCCTGTGTACACACGCATTCAGAGAACTAACAGAGGCATTTTGGGCCGGTAAAATCGTCTTCCTTATATTTTCGAATTTATGTTAACAATTAGATATTTATTTCTAAAAAAGAATTCACTTCTAATAGCGATTTCTTAATTTTCCTGTACACATTAGATATTTATTTCCTGTACACATTAGATATTTATTTCTAAAAAAGAATTCACTTCTAATAGGATTTCTTAATTTTCCTGTAAAGATAAGAAAGGAATTTGACAGACTGCACACTTCAAGGAATAAAGTTGATTATAAAATGCAATTTTGCAAATTGTTATATATTATAAAGATTTATTCACACACAAAGATAAACATACATATATAGATGTTGAAGTTTAAATTTGTTTAGATATTTAAAAAGTTTACAAAAGGAAAAAAAATATGCAAAAATATGCACAAATAGGAGACATTGATCATTACTTTTTACATAACATATTTATCTTTACAGTTAATATTGTTATTATACAGGGTGTCCCACGAAACATGACAATTGTCGAATGGTTTTGAATGTCTTGTTCCGTAATATTAGATATTAAAGACTTTTTGCAGTTCATTTCGTTAGAAAAATCTTTTACTCAAATATATTTTACTTTGAAATCAATTTTACTATAATTATATTTCTTTTAAATGATAATTTTTCTGTTTTGTATAAAAGAACATTTAAAACTTTTCACCAACTGTCATGTTTCGTGGGACACCCTGTATATTTAAGATGGAGGATATTTTGGATGAGGTTGCAGCATTTTCCCTAGCTTCACATCTACTCTGGACAGTTTGGGCACTAAAGCAGGTAATTTATACACTAAACATGAAAGTGAGAACCAGAAAACTGTGAAATAAGAAGACGATATTATAGCAATACTTTTGTGTATTTGGGTTTAAAGGTCGTTTTCTTGTTCCTTAGTTTCATGATCTTTCTGTATAATAAACTGCAGTGTATTAATCCCAATTTTTCGTTATCATGAGCAAAAACTATGACTTAAATTCTGTATTCATACGAAATTTCATGCAAAAGAATGATTTATTTTTATTCTAAAGACCTCCAGTAAACATCCTTGATCTATCATATTCTTAACCTCCATCAGTATATATCCATGATCTAATATATTCTTAAATATTCTTAACCTTGGACCAGTGCTCTAGTATATATCCATGATCTTATATATTCTAAACCTAGGGTCAGTCCTCCAGCATATATCCATGATCTTAAATATTCTAAACCTAGGGTCAGTGCTCCAGTATATATCCATTATCTAATATATTATAAACCTAGGTTCAGTCCTCCAGTATATATCCATTATCTAATATATTCTAAACCTAGGGTCAGTGCTCCAGTATATATCCATGATCTAATATATTCTAAACCTAGGGTCAGTGCTCCAGTATATATCCATGATCTAATATATTCTAAACCTAGGGTCAGTGCTCTAGTATATATCCATGATCTAATATATTCTAAACCTAGGACCAGTGCTCCAGTATATATCCATGATCTAATATATTCTAAACCAAGGGTCAGTGCTGCAGTATATATCCATGATCTAATATATTCTAAACCTAAGGTCAGTCCTCCAGTATATATCCATGATCTAATATATTCTAAACCTAGGGTCAGTGCTGCAGTATATATCCATGATCTAATATATTCTAAACCTAGGGTCAGTCCTCCAGTATATATCCATTATCTAATATATTCTAAAACTAGGGTCAGTGCTCCAGTATATATCCATGATCTAATATATTCTATACCTAGGGTCAGTGCTGCAGTATATATCCATGATCTAATATATTCTAAACCTAGGGCCAGTCCTCCAGTATAACATTCTCCTACTATTCCTATGCCAGAGATAGATTAGCTGACTATAAGATAGAAAAGGTAAGTTCTTTAGATGTCTCATAAAAATATGACACTTTATAGACGACTTAATGAACGTCTTCGAACTTTAAAATTTGAATAATCTGAATATGATGCTGACAGTGTCTCACAAAACATGACAGTTAAGAAACGAATTAAAAATCATCTTTGAATTTTTAGTTTTTATTATATGATAGATAAGGAAAGCATGCTTTCAGTTTATAACATAACATGACAGCTAAGAGACGACTTTTGGTCATCTTTGAACTTTAAAATTTGAATAATATGAATATGATGAAACAGATTTTAAGATATTATGATCTAAAAGATCTTTAAGAAAAACATTTTTTAAAACATGGCAACATTTTTGAGATTTTTGAAGCAAAAAAATTCCTTTTTTCACACAACAAAAATCCTCCAGTTGCGCATTTTCACGCAACATATTGTGAAAAAAACCGTTGCAGATGTTCTTCAAAAATCGATAAAGAGCATTTAAATGTTCTAATTGGATTTTCTTCAGGCCATCCATTCCATCAAAATATACATATAAACCAGAAAAAAATTAATTAAATAATTGCAGTCTCGTAATTTTATACAACAAAGTACATTCAGTTCTAATCCCAAGAATTCAATATAAATACTGCATCTATTGAAAGATTTATAGAATTTTCTTGTCAATCTTTTTGCAATCAAAAAGTTGTAAAAAATGCACTTTTCTGTCACCAATTAGATTGTAAAAATTAAGACGGACAATGCTTGTGAAAAAATGTTAGTTATTGATTAATAACTTTTCAATTAGGAAGATATGTTATCAATAAACTAATTATTATTATTTTTAACAAGATATTAAAATCCAATGTTTTTAATAACAAATTTAAAATCTAGGAATGAGGTCTAAAAAATCTCCAAACTCCTGCAAAAAACTCTCTAAAAACCCTACAAAATAAGCGGATCTTCGAGAACTTCGAATCAAATTCAACCAGCTGTTTATAAATAATGCTTAAAAATTGTCTTTGTCAGAATTCTCACAAAATTTTACAAATATTTAACTCCCCCCAAATTGGGATTTGGGTTCAAAGAAATTTGGAATTTATTCAGCTTTTTCAGGAGCATGTTGTAAAGCTATTCCAAGAGAAAAATCTGAAAGGAATAAAGAGAAGGAAAGAAGACGACCTCTCAATCTCTTCATAACAATTTATTTGCTAAACAAATTTGTATATTTCTCACATACTTAAAAAGATTTATCAAAATTATAATTATAAAAATTTATTTTAGACAAAATTATTGTTTTTCAATGAAAGAACCTTTTATAAAATTGTTAATAAGTCCTAAGTAAATAGAAATTTACTGCTCGAACGCATAACGATTCGTTGGCAATTATTTATGCATTTTAAACCTTTAATTGCATTGCATATTAAACTTTAGGATTTAATAATTTTCAACAAATTTAGTACAACTTTAGTATTAAATGACATTTCTCCGTAAACATTTTTGCCAGAACTTGTGTATATATATACTTTTTTCATATTTTAGGTCAAACGTGTTTTAGTCATTATTACATATGTTTAAGAACAAAAAAGCTAGTTTTTTAGTGCAGCTTTGATCTAAAGCTCTAGCACCCTGGATCGAGTTTTTAAATGAGCTCGATTTTGGGTTAAAATATATTATATACAAAAGTAGCAAAACTAAAATTAGAGATAAACTATCTCTTCCCTACAGCTCTGTGCTATAGTTTTAGATATTATTTTGTACAGTAAATCCATAATTTATCAATGTTTAAATTTTTATTATTTATCTTTTGTTAAAGCTGTTAAGTTCGTTTCTTAGATTTTGTAAAAATATCATTATTGATTTAGTATTTTTTTAACAACCTGTTTTATATTTTTGTTTCCTTTAAATATTTACTTTAAAAATTATTAGTAATTTGAGCAAAAAACTTAAATATGAGTTTAACTAAAATAAGNAGTCTCCCCTTGGAAGTGAGATTGACTTTTTAACATTGTTTTGAATAGTTTTTTTTGTTTGATTTTCTAACTCTAAAAATATACTAGATAATTCTTTTTTTAAATTTGTAATGGTTTAGAAACACATATATTATGTTATTTTTTTGCCATTTTATTAAAGAATGTTAAGTTTTGTTTCTTATAAGAAAAGCTTTTTGAAACACTTTTATTTAAATTGAATAAATTAGATTTTTGTGTAAAATCAGCCAAAACTGCAGTTACATTAAGAGAGAAATACTAGCTGAAGTACTCGGCGCGGCGAGGGAGGAAAATCCAGTTGCCATGAGCCTCCGACATGCAGACACGAGCCTCCCATATTTGCTAGGCAGAACGAGCCTCCACTGCAGTCTCAGCTATACAGAACAGGCAGCTTCCTTATAATTCTTGGTTTTAACGTGTAATAAATATTTTTTTTTCATTTTCCAGCATAGTGGCACAAGAATTGTACTTAAGATTAATGTTGTTTATTGCTTGTCATTATTTGTATCTTATATTGACTCATAAAGTGGTTTATAAGATTTATGTTTTACAATAAAATATTTCTTACGCAGTTAGGACTAAGGAGGCTATTTGAAAATTAATTTCTCAATTGAACTTAGTTTATATTGTTTTAATCTTTGATTTTCGGGAATTTTTTTAGATTCAGATTATTTGTCAATGTCAAATTTTGATGATCTTAATCTGATCAAAATTTTCAAAAAAGGAATCGCTTAAATCGCGGAGATTAAAATATCAAATAAAATTACTTTCAGAATTTTCTCGCAATGTTTTCCTTTTTGCGTAAAAATGTTTCAAGTTTTATAAACCACTTTATTAGTCATAATTAGTCACTATATTTATAATAATTAATTAAAACTTTGGATCTTTGATAAACTTTTTATGCCACTATGTCGAAAAAAATACAAAACTTCATTAATACATGTAAAAAAACCAAGGTTTTAAGGAAACTATTCTTTATAGAGGCTCGTTTACTGTATAGCAGAGGCTCTTACTGCATGGTGAAGGCTCGTTCTGCCTTGCAAATCTTGGAGGCTCATGTTTGCAAAGCAAAGGCTCATGGCGTCCGGGGGTTCCCTCCCTCGCATGGCACGGCGTTGCAAAGGTTAAAAAAATAAACAATTTGAAAACAATCGAATTTTCTGAGCCCATGGCCTCAAAGAACCCAAAGAGTTTTTTCTAAACCAAGTAAAGCCAACTTGGTCCGGCCGGCTTTTCACCATATTTACCCTGATGGGGGGCAAGTAGACCCCCTATCGTTTTTTTGCGATAACTCAAAGAATATTTTTGTCCTTGGGCATACTGCCATAATGCCTTATTTTACCTATACCAGAATAACAAAAGCAAACAGATTGCACATTTTCTTTGCACAGATTTTTGCACAACCACCTTTTAACGAGATTTGCCCATTTTCAATATTTTGAGTTTTTAAATTTATCATTTTTTTTGCAAATTATTGAGGTAGAGCCCAAGGGGTTTCCAAAAACGTATTGTGTGTTATATATTTGTATCACAAAAAGAAAATAGAGTGGGGGGCAATTCCCCCCCCCCCCCCCAGTGAACCAGAAATAGAACCAGACGTCAGGAATTATTGGGTTAAGGGACCGTAAAAATAATTTTAAGTACCCTCCATGCAAAGATGGCAATGACCGATTCACAATGGTAACCTTTATCTGATCAATAAAATTTGGAAAATGTTGAAAATACACACAAAAGTTAGAATGTTACAGAGAAAAAATCTGCAACTAAATATTGCTTACTTACTAAGGTTGCACATAAATCTGCATCCTACTTTATCCAAGCGTAATGTCGTCTTCCTACCATTCACCTTTGTATCGGGTCAGTTTATAAACCCAAGAATGTATTCCAGCATAGCTCCGTCTCAGACAGAGAAAACATACCATCCATCTTGAATAGTAAAAACGTTTGAATTAGTGAATACTTAAAATATACAATCCGTGAATAATTCTGCAATCCGTAGCAATTCTACTTAAACAAACGGGGTTTTTAATTTGGAAGTAATAACCAAATGTTTTAAACTGACCCCATCACCATCCTCTGAGATCAAACCCCTCCTTGATCACCCCAGACACACTCTACTAGTAAGTTTCTCAATCCTATTAAAAACATTAAACAGTTTTATCATAATTACTTATTATATATTACTAAAGTGTATTTTGTAGGTTCGAAATATATATACATATATGCAACTATGTGTTTGTGGTAACAGTCACAAGTCGAGTTTCTATGAACCTATATCAAGACATCCATGATTTACGTCATCCTTTCAAACTATCTGACCTGAGACAAATCTGGTATGGACGTTAGATCTCTCCAACAGGATCCTATAAATGGAGTCATCGATCCATTCAACACCAAGACCCCGCACCAGGAACCTCAGAAAACATGTAACAGAAATTTACCCTGCCTTCAACAGGGATGTACTCCAACAACCAGGTTTGCAACCACCTCCTGGAAACAAACTTGGTATTCTTTCTTTACAACTGCTCAGACCTTCGTGCCAACAATCAGAATCTGTCCAAGAAGGTACTGAAGATTTGTCTCCCAAAATCAAAACCCTACAAGCCAACTCAGAGATTATCCAGCAGTTCCACAACGCAGAGGACCTCCACAGCATCTCCCTCATTCAACCACTGATCCAGAACATCATGAGAAGTCTCCCCTTGGAAGTGAGATTGATTTTCACCAATCAGTTCATGGAATTCAGACGCCAATATCCTGCCAATGTCCGACCTCCTGCCTGCACGTTCTTGTTCCTCGCCCAGTTTGTGAACAAGTTGGAAAAGAGCTATTGATTGAACCCTTCTCTTTTTAATTTGAACTACTCCCTTGCAAAACGAGAGATTGAACCGCTTCGTTATGGACATCCCACCGCCATGAAAAAAAACCTCCACGTCCTCCCTCTGGGACTTCTCCTGAATTCAAATTCTCAAATTCCAGTGACAGGGTCTACTAAACATTCAGAATTTTTAAATTCTTAATTTTCCAACAAAGGGAAAATATTCTTCAATGTATTTGCTTATTAATTGTCATTTACGGTCGGTCAACTTCTCCATGTTTGCAAAATGCTTAAATTACCAATGCTATACTTGGATTTTTGAATTACACACACACATTCTTATCCAAATTGCTCCACCAGACTTAAAATTGCCCCTTTATTCAACATTTGTAACCCAATTGTTTCTTTAGAATATGCCACAAAATATTTTTAATTTTTACCTAAATTTAATTTTCACATCCCCAAATGTTTTATAAATAAAAATAAAAATGCATGAAATTAAAATCTCGGAAAACAAGATTTTATGGTGATTACCAATATATTAAGGTGGTGGAGAATTACCAATTGAAAAGCGGGCATACCGCAAAACTGAAAACACGTTTTGGTGGCGGTAAATACTAATTTGAGGACTTTTGCACTCCCCCCCCCTTGTTTGGGGGAGGATCGGAAGCCCTATGGACACGGGAAGTACCGCAAATAGGTAAAATGAGCTTCGATAGCTGTGCACGGTAGGCCAATTGCCTTCCCTCCCTCGTAGTTGGAAGTCGTATATAGAGACAGTTTCATACAGTTTGTCCCAATAAACATGGGAATTGAGAGACGTCTTGAATATTGTCTTTGATTTTCGATAATTGATAATGACATAAAGTGCATCAAATCAAGATCTAAATAAGCTCTCTAAAATGATGGTATAACCTTCTTTGTATCTTTACAATTGAGGAAGATATCAGACATTTAAATAGTTTTGTTGATTTATAATTAACTAGAATTTGGACAAATTTCCCAATATCTCCGTCAATTTTGAAGGTGAAAATGTAGACCTAATTTTGGAAATCCCGAGACTATTAGTTTTCGGTGATAAATTTTTTAGCCAGCTGTGACACTACAAAATCATAAATACGAAATAATCCCGCTTGAAACAAAGACGACACAGAAGACGTCATTTCAATTTCATTCCCATGTTTATTAGGACAGCCTGTATTATTAAAATATTTTCAAGATATTTTGATATAAAAGACGACATTTGTTGCCTGTGTTTAATTCGCCATCTTTATTCGTCTGCTTACGAAAACCAAACCAAACTAGTTTTAAATTTCACTGGAAAAAGTTCAAGGAGAAACAAATTAAAAAAAATTTCGGGTCTGTCCTAGTATACGATTTTTGGACCCCCCCTGCCCCCATTCCTCCCCCCTCCTATCAATTTTGTACATGACCATTAATTTTCAGCAAAACCAAAAATCGTATACTAGGAATATACCAAAATTTCTAGATTTTAATTAAGATTATGAATAATTCCCATGTGGTACTTTTTCATATAGAAATTCGAAATCATAAATTATTTTCCTATAAAACACAGGAAGGTATTTTCTATTTCCGAAATTTTTGTTAAGTTAAACTTTATTATTTTCAGACTAAAAATGTTGCCAGGAGTAAGATCATCTTTGGCTAAATTAAATTATTCAATTGTTTCAAGAACTTTTTATGCTTCAAGAGTTGTAAAGGTGAATCATGTTGTATCTCTAAATATTGAATAGGGGGGGGGNCCCCCCCCCCTCTTGTGAGAAAATTTGCAATGACAAGATTACAATTAAAAGATAACAATGTCGAAAAATGATATCTTATTAATCTGTGGTTTTCAGTATTAGTAACGTTTCTGAAATTGAATAAAAAAGACCGTAAATTAACTGTCAAACTCGTCTGTAAACGTAATTTATAGTGATTCACACTTTTTCAATCATATTTCAGATTCCTTTCAAAGGGACTGATCAAGAACGATTGCTGGACCCTTCCCCACGCCCCCCTTTCCTTCAAAAAATAATGTGTATGAATATAATTTGTTATATGGGTGCAGCGCCCGGCTCCCTTTTCTGTCCTAGTCGCAGCACTCGACCCAGATATCGTCTTAGCCTAACCTAACCCTGAAATAATACATAAATAAATTTTAATTTTGTTAATAAATTTTCGATATTGGTCTTGTACAAAATTGATGGGGGGGGGGGGGTGTGGGGGGTCCAGAAATCGTTCTCTAAGATTGATCCCGAGAATGTACCAGGAGTACCAGTGTCCGAATTAAATGAATAAAAGCAGCGTCTCTAATCCCCCATAAACCGGTTTCAATTGAGAGCCGGCATAAATCATGAAAAATTTAATACAATTTTAAGTGGAACCAATCATATTATTTGAGCTGCGGTTAAAATTTAAGGAGCGGCTCAAATTCTTTAAATTCGGCCTCATGTCAAGCATTGATCTTCATCTGGAGCAGACCGGAGGCCGAATTTTATGAATTTGAGCCGCGGCTTAAAATTGTATTAAGCCGGTGCTCAATTGAAACCGGTTTATGGTAGATTTTAGCTGCGACTCATATTCATTAAATTCGGACACGGATTATTCAAATTCCTCTTCAGTATTTATTTTTTTGCCCAACATTTTGACAATCCCATTTTTCCACTGTCCAGGGCAAATTCTAATGTTTTTAAAGCTGAATTTGTATATTGAATGGCTAATTGAGGAATAAGTGATTTAGTAGTTGATGAATATCAAAAGTAGGCAATTTTTTCCGGGTTATGGGACAGAAAGCGTAATTTTAAACGACCCTCTATTTAAAGATGGCAATGTCTGATTTACAGTGGTACCCTTAAAATCTTTGTCTGATGAAGTGTGAATTAATTAACAATGTTTATAATTTTCTGAAATGAATTGTGGTTTCTCTACAAAAGTGACTTGCGCATTTCTACTGCAGGAACACATATAGGAATTAAACCCTTTTAAACCTAGGAAAACGAAGATATCTTCCCAATTAACGATTATATTTTGAATCGGGCATTACCATCTTAATAAAGAGGCCACTTGTTATTACGCTTACGTTCCTTTAAAGTCATTTTTCATTTCTTTTACCCTTAACCTTAAACATTGTTTAGCATGATCCCCCATCATCTAATTCTACCCCGTCAAAAGCAGAATTACACGCAGAAAAACTCAGGTATTTTGTTTTAATCACAGAATTTTTTTTAAATACTAAAAGATCGTCTTTAAATTTCCTCCTGTATAAATAAAATGGTTCACCCCGCCCTGTCCTGTAGCATTTTAATGTGGCTCACTGTAGATTCGTGTATTTATTTATCTATCTATCTATTATGACATCCAAAATGTTACCAGGAAACCACCCCTCCCGGCAACCCTCTGCCTCACTTAGGAGTACATGGGTCACAGAGTTAGCATGACATGTGCAATGATACTGTTATGCCCGAGTGGAAGTAGCTGAAGCCGTGAAGAGGGGGGTCCAAAAATCGTTCTCTTGGACAGACCCGAAGTAGCCCTTAAAATCGTTCTTTTTATCTGTGGTTCATTGGTTGTAGTCCATGTTTCCTTTATAATTTTAAAACTTTAGTCCCCAGTTGTTTTCACAAACATTTTTTTAATTTCTTATAATTTTTTAATGGATTTACAAATAGAATGGGTTTGTTTTAATTTGGAATTGACTTTAGCGATTTTGATTCTAAAAACTCCCAGGCTAAACGATCTTATTTAAACTTAATTTTTTTCATTCCATGTAAGCAGTGTTAGAATCCGGATCTGTTGGATCTGCAAGATTTGGCTTCTTGGATCCGGATTCAAGGGTCAAAATATCAACTAAAAACTGCAAAAAAAAAGTTTTACTTTCAACTCAAATCTAAATTATTGAAAAAAGACAGATTTGATAAATTTAATTCTGAAAATGTTTTCAATTCAAGAAATGCGTCAAGACATTTTTGTACAGAGAAGAAAAAAACCATTCAAAATAATTAATTTTCAAAAACAAAAACATCGAGATCAAATTGATATATGATCAGACTAAGCTTGTAAGGTGAACGTTGCCAATCAAGCATACCGCTCTATCAATGAAGGGTCCCTTCAAATTTCGTTCACTGTCACTTTAAATATCTGACTTTAACTTTTTTCAGAAAGAAGACTCCTATTGGTAAACTAGATGAACAACCTACTGTTCATCCTGCACAGGAGAAGGAACCTCTTAAACCATTTCCAGGAGGGGTCAATCCTAAAACAGGAATTATCTAAAGGGGCGGGAGGGAGGATTCTTAAAGAAAATACGCACCCTAAGGCTTTATTCTTACATCTGCTGCAATTTTTTAAGGATATTTTTTTCTAGGGGAAGTAGGGGGACCTAAAGGGCCTGAACCTACCAGGTATGGAGACTGGGAAAGGAAAGGAAGAGTTTCTGATTTCTAAATAATCCCTTGAACTAGTCAAACAGATGCCATTGCTTGTTTCATGGTACAACAAATGCAACATGTAGTACAACAAATACAACATGTAGTACAAGATGTAGTATATTCACGGAAATTCACTCAGAACATAACTCATCTGAAATGTATTATATTGTATATATTTATGTAAAAATAGTTAGTTTATTTCTTAAAAAGAAAATAATTGTTCACCTCTGTAAAATTTCAGATATTAGCAGAATGGTCTGAAAGGGTTCTAAAATGGGAGCCAACCAGAGTAGCAGAAACATCACCGTGGTCAACGATGAGGCCACTGGGGTTATAAAAATTTCTGACTCTGTAGTGCAGAGGCTTAAAGGTAAGATTCTGAACTTTGTGGTGCGTAGGCTTAAAGGTAGGGTAATAAAGATTCTGAACTCTGTGATGCGGAGGCCTTTGTAGGGTAATTAAGATTCTGAACTCTGTGATGCGGAGGCTTAAAGGTAGGGGTATAAAGATGCTGAACTCTGTGATGCGGAGGCTTAAAGGTAGGGGTATAAAGATGCTGAACTCTTTGATGCGGAGGCTTAAAGGTAGGGTTATAAAGATGCTGAACTCTGTATGCGGAGGCTTAAAGGTAGGGTTATAAAGATGCTAAACTCTGTGATGCGGAGGCTTAAAGGTAGGGTTATAAAGACTCTTAAGTGATGCGGTGGCTTAAAGGCAGGGGTATAAAGATGCTGAACTCTGTGATGCGGAGGCTTAAAGGTAGGATTATAAAGATTCTGAACTCTGTGGTGCAGAGGCTTAAAGGTAGGGGTGTAAAGATGCTGAACTCTGTAATGCGGAGGCTTAAAGGTAGGGGTATAAAGATTCTGAACTCTGTGGTGTAGAGGCCTATAGGTAGGGTTATTAAGATTCTGAACTCTGATGCGGAGGCTTAAAGGAAGGGGTATAAAGATTCTGAACTCTGTGATGAAGAGGCTGAAAGGTTGGTGTATCATACTTATGAACTATTTGGTGCAGAGGCTTAAAGATAAGGTACGTACGATAAGATTAAATGTACGGTTAGTAAGACTGGCGTAGTGTAAAGGTTTAAAGGTATCAAGATTTCGGACTGTGTGGTGCAGAAGCTTGAAGCTAGGGATAGAAAGATTCTCACCTCTGTGGTACATAGGTCTTAAGGTATGTTTATCAAGGTTATTAACTTACCGGGCGGCAGGCTGCAGAGGTTTCAAGGTGATACGGATTATGGACTATTGAGGTGCAGAGGTTTAAAGATAGGGGTTGTGAGACCAACTCTTTGGTGCAGAGTGCGTTAAGCCATCATTTTCTTCCACAACTGAATATTTTCAGGTGAAATAACAGGAGAGAATAAAGAAGTGAAAGCTGAACCTGCTGCACCCCCCTCTGCACCTTCTCCACCCCCTGCTCCTGAACCAGCTAAGGAAACTCCTCCAACCCCACCTTCTTCAATTCCTACTCCTGCTCCGGCTCCAGTTGAACCATCTACTGAACAAATACCGCATCATGTGTGGCAGAGACCAATTATCCAGGTTTTCAATTCAGCCAGTTTTTTAGAAATATTTAAAATGCTAAAATTTCATATTTTATCTAGTTTTACCCTAATGCTTCATAACAAATGTGTCGCACATCTGGGAATTTTATTCAGTGGACCACTTTGGGGGGGAAGGGGGGGGGGGTAACAAAGTGAACTTGTCTTGTTTATTCCAAAGTTCGCAGGTCTTAAATATATGTTTATGTTCAGTATATTGAGGAGCCCAGTCTCTCCGCCCTCAAGGTGAAACAGGAAAAGGAGGTCGAGCTCAAGAACCTAGAGGACTACTGGAACCAGAGGCTGGTTAAACAACAGGTTGGGTTATTGATTGATTTGGTTGGTTGGTTGGTTGGTTGGTTGGTTGGTTGGTTGGTTGGTTGGTTGGTTGGTTGATTGATTGGTGGATCGATCGTTGCATTGATTGTTTCGTTGATCGGTAGATTGTTGAATAAATTGAATATTGTTAATGGGTGGATTTATTGATTGATTAAATACTGGATTTTTGGTGTGTGCTTTGGTTTGATGACTGAATTGAGGACTGATAGATGAAGGTTAATTTATTCTGATTAATTGTTAATCTGATTGGTTATGAAATTAATTGATTGGTTATGAAATTAATTGATTGTTTGGCCAATAACTTGATCACCCTGAGCTGAAAACTTTTATCACATTTGAGGACTTGAGTCCTATTGAACGTTAGTCTTAATAAACACTAGCATCACAACTGTTCTTGAACATCTTCATCATGACTGTTCTTGAACATGTTAATCATAACTGTTCTTGAACATTTTCATCAACTGTTCTTGAACATGTTCATCATAACTGCTCTTGAACATGTTCATCATAACTGTTCTTGAACATCTTCATCATAACTGTTCTTGAACATCTTCATCATAACTGCTCTTGAACATGTTCATCATTACTGTTCTTGAACATGTTCATTATAATTGTTCTTGAACATGTTCATAATTAATGTTATTGAACATGTTCATCATGAATGCGCTTGAACATGTTTATCATGACTGTTCTTAAACTTGTTATTCATAACTGTTCTTGAACATGTTCATCATAACTGTTCTTGAGCATGTTCATCATAACTTTTCTTGAACATGTTTATCATAAATGGTCTTGAACATGTTCATCATAAGTGTTCTTGAACATGTTCATCATAGCTGTTCTTAAACATGTTCTTCATAACTGTTTTTTTGATCATGTTCATCATAACTGTTCTTGAACATGTTCATCATAACTGTTCTTGAACATGTTCATTATAACTGTTCTTGAACATGTTCATCATAACTGCTCTTGAACATGTTTATCATAACTGTTCTTGAACATGTTCATTATAACAGCTCTTGAACATGTTCATCACAACTGCTCCTGAACATGCTCATCATGACTGTTCTTTAACATGTTCGTCTTAACTGTTCTGTAACATCTTCATCATAACTGTTCTTGAACATGTTCATCATAGCTGTTCTTGAACATGTTCATCATAACTGTTCTTGAACATGTTTAAAGATCTAGACTCCTTTATATAGTCTGGCAAACTGTTCCATAATTTATCACTCTGACAGAAAAAGAGTTTTTTCATATGTTAGAATTGAAATTTTGATTTGCTTAATATTAAGATTAAAACTTAAAACTACAATTGGATTGTGTTGTCATCCTATTCCTGTATTGTATGTTCTGCTTGAACCATGAAGATTCTTCAACATTATCATTTCTATTTAGAATTTTCAATGTCTGTATTAAATCTAATGATTTCTTGTTCAGGAGGAGCATATTGCAATGGCTAAATTAACGGATGATGAATTTAATAAAAGTTTAAAGAAAGTTGAAACTCTGTTTGCAACATCAGGAGTACAAGGAGTATGCAGGTAACTAGTAATTGAAGTAATTCTTACAATTTTATTAAACGTAAGTTCAAGTGTCCCTCTATTTAAAGAGTGGCATGTCCGATTTACATATTAAACTTTTCTCTCATCAAAGATGAAAGAGAGATTTTTATTTTTCTTTCTGGAACGGGTTATTTTCAATTAGGGTTTTCTACTTATTAATGATTTGATTTGATTTGATTTTATTTGATTTGAAAGTAGGGTTAAGAGTTATGATTTCTTTTTTTAAGACCCCCCCCCCCTCCTTCCTTTAGAACATGGTTTAATTGGCGTGTACTCCAAACTTCATTGTGGGAATATTTTGTAGTAATGCCTCTCAAGTCATCATACGTGTTTCATTAAATTTTAAGAAAAGATTTTAGTTTTATCATTTTGCACGCAAAAAATACTTAACCCCTTCTCATTGAAAAAAAATATATTTCTCAAAAACCGGATTGTCGTAAAATGAAAAAAATGTGATTTTAAAATTATGATTTTTTTATGTTATGTAATTGTTGAACCCTGGTGAAGGATTGTTATTTTATATTTAGTTAGGTTAGTGTAGTGTAGAGTGTATAGGGTTGGGTTTACTAGAATTCACAAGCTTAACGCCCTGGGCTTAGTCCATCCATATCATTCATTAGTTCATTAGCCAACTGTTAAAAAATACAATAATATCGTCTGAACATTGTTTTTCAAGATTCAGACTTATTAAATGTTTATTTTTTTTTCTTTCAAATAAATAGAAAAATATTATTTTAGTAAATTTTGATTAAATAAATAATCAAAATCAATTAGTTTGAATTAGATGTTAATCAATCAGCTAAATAATATGAATCGATTAAATCAACTAAATATTCAAAATCAACTAGTTTGATTGAATTCATCAAAGCATGCAAGTTGAATTATTTTGAATGAAATCAACTAAATACGCAAGATCAATTAGTTTAATTGAAATCATCTAAGTATACAAAATCAATCAGTATGAATGAAATCAACTAAATATACTAGATCAATTAGTTTTAATGAAATCAACTAAATATACAAGATCAATTAGTTTGAATGAAATCAACTAATTATATAAAATCAATTAGTTTGAATGAAATCAACTATATACACAAGATCAATTGGTTTTAATGAAATCAACTAAATATACAAGATCAATTATTTTAAATGAAACCAACTAGTTCTACAAGATTAATTAGTTTGAATGAAATGTTGTAAAATTAATTAAGTATACAAGATCAACTATTTTGAATGAAATTTGAATCAATCAATGAAGCTTAGAAAATCAAAAGTGACTAAAACGTAATGTTAGTCAATCAACAAATCAAGATCTTGATCATATAAAGGTTTTTTTGAACTATCATGATACTTTTTAAGAATCAGAAAAAAGTTATGAATCAATGAGATCAATTACAATTAATTTGTTAGTTAACTTAAAATTTTAACCATTAAATAAAAAAAAAATGTAGAATAATGCAAAAAGGTGACTTTTGCAAATTAACTGAATTCTTTTAAAAATCTGTGCTTAATCGGATTTATCCAGTTTTTCACTTATTAAGAATAAATTTCCTATCTCTGCATCCTATCAATTTCTGATACATGAGATGCAATATTTTCAGTGTTATACTTGGATTTCAAGTTTAAACAGAATTAAAGGGAGTTACTTTGAAAATGAGAAATCAACAAATATATTTTCTACAGTAGTGGGCGTTTATATCAATACAATAAAGACAACTTTCGATTAAAATTTTGATTCATATGAAACTCTTTAACAGCATGTAACGCACAAGCATAGAAGTCAAGAGAAGCTGCCATTTAAAATAGCTTCTCTTTAATTATTTGTCAACTGGTAATTCGGTAAGATAATCAACAATGACAAATTTTTCTTCGTTGTTTTGATATAATCGCCCACCACTTTATAGATAGAGTATGGAGGAAAATGAATGATTTTACTTAAAGAAAGGTTCTAAAAAAAAAAGACAAGAAATCGACATTTGAACTCAAAGAACAATCTTAAATTATTATTGATAACATTTGCCCCTGGTCTAAGAGAAATAGATAGTTCGTGAAATGAAAGAGTGTATATTGTAGGGATGAGAGTGACGCTGTCAGGGATTGTTATTCATCAAATTCTGGAAAATCTTTAAGGTATGTTTCTAACATTTTTATTATTTAAAAAAATACCTTAGCAGTAGCTGTAGGACCATAGCTCATTCTTGATTTAGTAATTTCATCTTTAGTTTGATTGATATATTAATAATTCATTACTTCATTCATCAATTCACTCATTCTTCTTATCAATAATTTGATTTGTGTATAAATTCAACTTTTTATTAACCATCATTTCCATTAATCCATTGATCCATCAATCCGTCATCACAATTTCCATTAATCCATCAACCCAATTTCCATTAATTCGTTGATCCATTAATCCATCTATATATTAATTCATTAATTAATCCATCAATCCATTAATCCATGAATCCATGAATCCATTAATCAATGAATCCATTAATCCATGAATCCATTAATCTAATAATCCATTAATAATTCAATCTAACCAGCCTTTAATTGTATTAATTCACTAATTCATTAATTAACTAATCCATCAATTAATCAATCAATAAATTCATTAATTCATTTATCCATCTATTTATTAATTCATTAATCAATCATTTCATAAATCCATCAACCCGTAAATTAATTAACAAGTCCATCAGCCATCAGTTTATAAATTCTATATTTTTTATTCAACAATACGTAAATAAACTTATTTATTAATCTTTAACATCTTTGAAAGGGACTAAAGGCTTTATTTGAATTCTCTTAATAAGATAATGCAATGTTCGATTCACAACGATTCCCTTGAAACCTTAATCTGATAATAATCTGATAATAATGTCGTTTTTCTAAGTGTAATAGTATATTATGCGTAGGAAGAAAGTGTAATTATCAAAATTATTCCACGGTTTTTCTTTCAATATTATAACAATCATTTTTATTATTACACTTACTTCCTATGCATAATAATATTATACTACCTTTACACGAATGATTATAATTATTACACAAAATGGGTGACAATAACAAGAATTATTCCTGATTTGGTTACGTAGTAAATCCGACAAGAATGTGGTATAATAGTATTTAATCGTGATAGTACCAATATGTTTTCCCGCAGTAGAAATGCGCAATGCGCAAGTAGAGAAACCACAATTGAAAAATAGTCACTTTTATAAAATTATAAAAACTGATATCTAATTCAACCTTGATCAGACAAAGCTTTTAAGGGTGCCGTTGGGGACAATTGCCATCCTTTAAAGAAGGATCACTTGAAATTACACTGAACAGTCCCTTTACTCTATTTTCTTAATTCGTCTTTTATTTTGAATTCCTATTTATTTTGGATTAGTTTTTAGAAAAAGCATAAATCATAAATTGTTTTAATAGGTATACCTATTTCACATATTAACTATCAATAATATGTATAATTCATTGTATGAATTTCAAGGTCTTTCATCAATCAAAACATATTTTGAATTTTGAATTTCCCTACTGATTTAATGTTTTCCAGTCAATCGCGAAAAATAAGTTTTGTAAAAGAATTGTGAAATGTGGCGACATTTTCGAAAATTAAAGGAGTGGATACTAGATAGTATATATGGAAACTGGAATATATATTTTGCAGAAAGTTTTTCAAAGATTATGAGGGGAGGGGAGGGGGGGGGGTTTAAACTGGCAAGTTTTTCCCTAAAAAATTGTATAGTTTTAGAAAAAAAATGTCTACGACCTATTTTGTTTCAGATGTCGGGACTCTGTGAATAGTTTTGCTAAGTGTGTCTCCTCTGCTCGCCTGGCCGGTTAAATCGGCAACGGCTGGACGATTTATTCATCCTTTGACGATACAGTCACCTTGTAGAATCGGCCATAATGATATTCGGCCGTGTTTTAGTCGTAATAGAATTTCTGTAGCTCGTCGCGCTTATTACCGAATTAATGTCTTATTATTTTCAGATAAGAAAGTTTATATTATCAATTATTAGTGAATTTGACCCAATTCAGGTATTATTATTACTAGTTGTTTTTGTTTCGATTTTTTTGTTGTTCTTGTTGTTCTTGTTGATCCTGTTGTTCTTGTTGTTCTTGTTGTTCTAGTTGTCCTTGTCTTGTTTTTCTTGTTGTTCGTATTGTTCTTGTTGTTCTAGTTGTCCTTGTTGTCCTTGTCCTTGTTTTTCTAGTTGTTCTTGTTGTCCTTGTCCTTGTTTTTCTTGTTGTCCTTGTTGTTCTTTGTCCTTGTTGTTCTAGTTGTCCTTGTTGTTCTTGTAGTTGTTGTTCTCTTTCATTGTTCTTGTTTTTTTTTTATACTGTTTTCATTGTATTATTATTTTTGTTTTTTTTGAATGTAGGTAAAAGGTCATTAACAACATTACTTTCGCAGAGAAGTTTACAAATTAAGTTATCTTGGCACTTTTCTTTTTGATCTACTCTCAAGAAATCCTCTAGACACTTTTATTAAATGCGACGCCCAACAATATTAGCTAAGTTTTTTAGTCTATTTTTGAGATAACTCGGTTATAGAACTCTTTAAAAGAGAGGGTCACGACAAATGTTGTCAACAGTCCCTTTAAAAATATTTGTTAAGCTATGGAAGATGACGTGCCTGAGTTTGCAAGCCCAACCGAGGAAATTGCATTTTGGAAGGGTAAAGCGCAAGAGTGGAAAAATGCCGCAATAAATTCTAAAGAAGAACTTGACGAATTTCAGGTACAAGAGCCAGGCTCAGCCTGTTGTAAGAAATGGGAAAAGGCCTTAAAATATACAACATCTTATATAGATTCAGACAATTGTAGCACTTTTCACAGCTCTGTAACAAAGATGTATTTTTTTATCAAAAATACACCCTCCTCCCCCCCACTTCAAACTATGCTCAAAAAAGTTCAAATGTTGTTTTTATTGTCTGTGTGGAGTGTGGACTGTGGAGAGCCAAAAGTTATACTGGTTTTTATCGCTTTATTCGTCGAAGAAAATTATGCAATTCTTATTTGGACGGAAAACTTTTTTGATTTTTCCCTCAAGGTCTGGAGGGTTTTTGTTTTGAGTTGTTGGATGGGTCAATCTGCCTAACAATCCAGAGATGATTTCATGGATGTACAGGAAGTGAAAGTCTTAAGCTACCAATATTCCAGAAGAAATTTTGCGGCGAAGCTTTCTTCGGATTGTCTTCAATTTCAACTCAAATAATTAAAAGAAAAAGCCCCTGCTCTTTTATTTTTTTTTTGGTGGGGGGGGGGTAGATATTTTAATTTAGATTTGTGGAATTGATTTTTTTAACAAAATATATTAATATAGAATACCAACTCCTGTATTTTTAGGAAGGAAGTCGTGAACTAGAGGCAGAACTAGAAGCTCAGCTTGAACAAGTCGAGTTGAAAAATAAGGAAACAAAAACATTTTTACTATCATATTTGTTAATTACCTCATTAATAAGCGATCATCAAGATGCATCCAGAATTCCAGTGTTAAGGATCCAGATTCGTTTATCCTCAAAATTTTGGATTCCTGGATCCGGATCCGAAAAAATATGCGGATCCATCAATCAAAAATTGCAAAAAAAAAATTACTCTTAACTCAAATTTGGACTGTTAAAAACGAGAGTTTTTCAAAAAAAAAATCTGATCACTGATTGGTACATTATCAAGTTTTGCATAAAAATAAGCGAAAAAAAAGAAAAAGAACATAGTCCATAGTTTATTCACAATGATGATTTTCTCTAAAATAACTCACTGTCTCCTACATGCCAAAAAACTGAACAACTAAAGAATGTCACTTAAAAAAAAGATATATTTTGATTTAATTGTTTTTATCAAAGGAAACGAATGGAAACGGACCTCCGATTAAGAATCTTCTTTCTTTCAAAAATAATTTTTTTGCGCTTTTTGATTTGTTTTTGTTGTTGACCAGGAATTGAAGAGTATGACGAACAATAATATGCATCAGTTAAAATCTAGAGATGTAAAGAAACAAGGGTTTTGAATACAAATAATTTGAATTTTATTTTAAAAGTTTTTTTAATAAAGGGTTTTATCTTATGCCTTCATTCGAAAATGTCTCTAATTTTCTATCACGATATAACAAAACAATCACAAGCTTTGTTATATAATATTTTCTTGGACTTTGGTGATGAAATTGATAAGCTTTGAACCTAAAATTCATTAAAGATCATGAATTATCTCGCTTGATATTTCAACAAATGTTACAGATTACAGAAGGGTTATATTTACAAAAATACACAAGTCTTAGAACGAAAAGGATGTATCCGATTTTTAATTTTAATTTTGATTTTAATATTAATTTTAATTTTAATTTTAATTTTAATTTTAATTTTGATTTTAATTTTAATTTTAATTTTAATTTTGATTTTAATTTTAATTTTAATTTTAATTTTGATTTTAATTTTAATTTTAATTTTAATTTTGATTTTAATTTTAATTTTAATTTTAATTTTAATTTTAATTTTAAATTTTAATTTTAATTTTAATTTTAATTTTAATTTTAATTTAATTTTTTTCTTTTACGATTCGGGTCTTCCCAACCTTTAAAGCCTATCATGGCAATGCAAAGCACAATCCAACATTTCGAAATGAATTGAACTAGGTTGTTAAATCTGATAATCATTATGATCAATGTACTATAGAAAAAAATAATTTTACAGAGTACGTTCCTTGTATGAACGACAAACTTTGGCCGCTAGGTGTCTCAAGTACGATTCGTATCTGATAGATAGATAATCATGACGCAAACAGTCCTCTGGTCGGCCATTGTAGCCTTATAAGGAATGTGCTCGGGAAATCCATTTATAATGATCAATGAGCATTGATCATTCATAGTATTAGGATGAGATTGAGAACCAAACTGCAAGGTCTGACTCGAAATGTATTATGATAAATTAAATACCTTTTGATTTGGTGGGAAGTACATATTTAGAATACAAATATACAAAGAAACAGGGGAACTTAATTAATCTGACTGATTTTTTTCAGATAAACGAGTTGGAAACTGAATTGTCGGAGATTAAGGGGATCAAGGATAAGCTCGCTAAATACGTGCGTGAGCTTGAACAACAGAATGACGACCTTGAGCGCGCTAAACGGAGCACCCTGGCGTCACTAGAGGTAAAACTTGCGTGCTTTTAGCAAAAATATTGTTTTATGCAGAATTCTATCAAAGTTCACAATTGGACCCTCCATTTATATAAAAGAGTTACTGACCTGATTCACAAAGGTACCCTCAACACCTTAGTCTTTGCAGATTGATGGAGATTCCTTGTTTTTATCTGAGAATATATTTATATACAAAAGCTACTTGCGAATTTTTGCTGCAGATAAATGATGGAACAGATTGTCAAAAGTTATTAAAAATGCCACCTCATTGATAAGTTTTAAGAATATGCATGACAAACATATTTTTTCAATGTAATAGGTGTCAGGGGCGCCGAGATCCCTGGTGAAGGTGTCAGGGGCGCTAAGATCCCTGGTTTAACCTAATTCGCTATAAGTAGAAACAAAAGATATTTTGACTCGCTGAAAATGTCACAAAAGTGATCTCCTGGCGAAAAACATTCCAGTAATCCAGTAATCCAGTAATAACAAATGATTGTGTTGACAGTTTTGTGTTGTCTTATATCTAGATAAATTGAATATAGCTTTAAAATTACTCTGTGTTAGATAATGGTATAATACCATCGTGTAACTCATCAAGAAAAGTGTCACTTCACATTACTACGATAGTGCCTTGAATCTGAAATTCTCTAATATTCATTTGCGCATTTTTTAGGATTTCGAGGGTAGAATGAACGCGGCAATTGAGCGCAATGCTTTCCTTGAATCTGAGCTCGATGAAAAAGAAACATTAAAGAATGCCGTCCAAAGGTAATTTTTCTTTGAAAAAAAACTTGAATAGATCATAAATTGTTAAAAAAAAATCTATTTCTGTTTTCCAATTATCTTTTGTGTTCACTGTTTTATTTTACACGTTTCTTACTGATTTTTTCTGACTACTGTCCAAAAAAAGATAAAATTAGCACGTCAGGAATGTTTTTTGCTGAATTGTTGAATACAATTGATTTCTAGGGGAACTAAATGTTTTTTTGATGGTGAAAAGTATCAAAGGGGGAAGAAAACCTACGGGGTTTGTCTTTTTAAAATTTGCCCGTCCCCACCCCCCTCAATTTCACTTCTTCAAAGATTATAAATCAAAATTAATTGGGTTTTTTGAGAAAACTATGAATGGTCAATTTAAGATAATAAAAAATCCATTTCTTTATTTCAGATTGAAAGACGAGACTAGAGACTTGAGATCAGAGCTGAAAGTTCTTAATCCTCAATTTGTAAGTTCCTTTTATAATCTTTTCTCAAAAAAACTTTATATCGTCTAATCAACAAACAAACCATCTTTTTGTGGGTCACTTGACACGCCCCGCCCCCCCTGCCCTCCTCCTCCCGCGGTAGCTTGACATCCCAACACAACCCAGACCTAACATTTATATCAATTCAGTCCTCTTTTTGTTTGTTAATTTGTTTCTTGGCCTAATTTGAATTCAAATTTACATCTCAAAGTGTCCTAAACTTGTAAAGTTTTATTATCTATCCACGGTGCAAACATTGATCTCGGTCGGGTTAAATTCCAGTTAATAAAGTCCGGTAGCCAAATTTAAAGAATTTGAGCCGCGGCTTAAATTTGAGACGCGGCTTAAAAAAAGTTGGTTCCACATTGGTTTTTCAAGTTTTCATGAATATTTTTTATAAATATTTTATTCTGTATGTAATGTAAGCTTGGCAAGGGCGTATACAGAAATAAATCTAGGGGGGG